TTGACCAGCCCTGATCTGATGCTGTCATTCCCATTGGATGATGCCCCTAACCACCATTCACAGCAGATATCGCCCCTAACCGCCCATTCACAGTGGATTATGAGTTCTTCCACTCACAGACGAAACCGCGGGGGGGGATGTCATTTGTTTAGGGGTTCACCAAACCTAACCTAACCTAACCTAACCCGCGTCTAACCGCCAATTCACTGCTGGATCTCAGTCTGAGGGCATAGTTTGGCTTGATGTGGAGAGCCATCTGTCACTCTTCTCTAGCTCAGTTGGTTAAGGTGTCTGCCATCCACTCTCCCTGGATGACAGCAGGAGGTTTTGGGTTCAATTCCCCCCTGCTGCATTTTAATTTCTTTGCTGTGCACTGCCAAAGGTACATTGCAATGTGGGCACATGATGGCTGCCTTGTCAAGGTGTCACCTTATTTAAATGTACCCCCCCTGCCACGGCAAGGTACAATGCATTGTGGCTACAACCCAGGGTGGTGGGATGGTGCCCCAGTTGTACACGGAGGCCTAGGGACTTGAGGTTATGTTTCGCGAAAAAAAACCCGTTCCATCGCTACCATAAGTGTTAGTATTCGGCAGGTGCAAGGCAGCCACAGACGTACGCAAATTCTATGCAGCGGCAGCCGAGCGTGCGCGGCAACACAGCACTCGCTGCAGAGCATGTCCCCGCCGCAGCAATCGTCGCAACGGAACAGCGCTGGCTTCCCCTCGTCTCTGCAGCCTGGACACATGTCGCCCGCTTTACCACGTCCGTCCCGCCAGAGCAACGCGTCGAGGTACACGTCTCGCAGCTCGTCCTTCCATCTCGCCATCGCCTCATCCTGGCAGGCTGTCAGTTTGCACAACGAAGAGGATGGAGAAAAGAAGACGTACCCCTGGCTTGGCACGCGGGGAACTCTGCTCTTCGTTCGGCACCTCACCCTCATGACCGTCGTCCTGAAGGTCGTACCTTTCTTCCCCGAGCCAGTCTGCCGTCAGCACGATGGTTGCCGAGGAGGATGGGGTCGCAGCAGTTTGCCGTGGACGTTTGGCCGGAGAGAGGCCCCCGCGTACTGGCTTCGTATGCGTAAAGACGCGCTGTCCGTCTGCCGAGACACGCTGCCGCACTGCTCGCACCGAAATTGCGTCGTATGTGTCCGCGTCTGAGTCTGAGTCGCTCATAGTGACTGTGGCAGCCCCAGCAAGCGTTGGCACCACAGGCAGTCGTTTCGTTCTTCTTTGGCGGACGGACATTTCGTCGGTATGGGCCTTGCTTGCCTGTTTGTGTGTGTAGGGCACCAGTCATCGGAATTAAGGGCTTTTCGCGTTAAAGTTGGGCGCAGAGAGTTATTGCGTTGAGGAGGAGTGCCGGATTGATCGTGTTAAAGAGGGGAGGAAGGAGTTATCGCGTTGAGGAAGGTTATTGCGTTAAGCAAGAGAGTGATCGGCCCATTTGTCAAAGTCATGCTGGATTGGTAGTTTCGTAAAGTACATGTATCATTTTGTCTTTACACTAGGTCGAATTCGTCTTTACACTCCGGTTGAAACAGCTTGCGTTCATTCGTCCTCCACGATGAAGTCATTGTCATCCAGCTCGCGTTCAGCATTGTCATCCAGCTCGCGTTCAGCATTGTCGTCCAGCTCGCGTTCAGTCGTCGTCCACGAGGAAGTCCGGGTCCTTCCACATGAGGACCTGACCGCAGCATCAGCCAACGTCTGAGGAAAGCCGAAATATACTCACCTCGAAACCGATAAGCAGGGACTCCTTCTCCAACGCCGTGGGCGCGATCTCCTCCTCGTAGAGGAAGCGGGTCAAACGTTTAGTGTTCCAGTGCGCCATCCCGCGCAGCTGCTGGTAGGAGACGACGCCGGCGTTGTTGAGGGCTGCCTTGAGTTCGGGCATGGGCGGCTGGCATCCAGCAAGGAACGCCACGACGGGGTCCTGGGCCGGCGCAGCAGAGGCTGAGGTCGCGGGGAACTTGGACTTGAGCTATGTGGTTGAGGAAAAGAGAAAAGAGGGAGATTTCAACACTCACCGTTTTGAGCATAACTTCGTAGTAAGACGGGAGGCGTTCGTCTTCAGAGTCGACGTTATCTTGGGCAGCATATGTGTTCCCAGTGGCCCTAGCAATCGAATTTTCCTTCCAATTGTAGACGGAGGAGATCTGCTCCGGGGTGAAGTGGTGCGTGTGGACGAGCTTGCGACAGGCGGCGCGCTTTTTGCGGTCAAGAGCGGGGCTGTAAAGTATATGAGGGCCAAGTAAAACGAGAGGACATGTACTTACGGGCGTCCCATGGGCTTCGGTTCAGGCTTTCCCATGGGCTTCGGTTCAGGCTTTGGGGGCATTGTCAGTGGTTATGGTGGTTTGAAGGAAGGAGAATCCGGGAAAGGATGGCTTATATATTCATGGAAGCAGCGCATATAGAAGCAGCGAGGACTGAATTGGAGATTGAATTGGTAGAGAAACGGATTGGTAATCACCTCGTTTTGGCCATCAAGGCACAGTTTTTCTCCTCCACCATGTCCTCGCCGTCTACGTCGTCTCACTCGTCTCACCCAGCTGTTCTGGCTGACCTGGCCACTGGCGAGCGATACCAAACGTGTGTACTCTGCGTAGCCTCTCCCTACTCTATCGATTTCGCAGCTTTGACGCGCACCTTCACGCCGACGCCCGACCCCTCTACCACAAACATGCCCACATCGAGCCCTGCAAATACCACTGGGACGCACTCGCCTCATTTGGACTGTCGGACGGGGAGGCCATCGAGAGGCCCTGGGACCTTCTTGCCTCCAAAACCAAAAAGGTGCGTCCTCTTGGCCAGCCGCTTTCCTTCTCCTCACTTCCCTCAGGCCAAACTCTGACTGTATCCTCGCGCGTGCGTCTGTATCTTCGTAGTATCCCTGCCGTAGTACCCTGTATGTAGAATCTCGGCGAATGAAATCTTGTCCACCAAACGCTACCTGAAAAGGCAAGGGGAGCTGACTAAGCCAGCCACTCTTGCCAGCGCCTCTCTCCCTCGACGCGATGCCCGAGCTGTTCGACACGACAACGACGCAGAATCTCAACCCAGGTGTGTGCCTTGCCCCCTCCTTGCTTTCCTCCCCTTTTGTTTCTCTCTTCCCGCCCGATTCCCACCACAGAGCAGGGCGTTTTACCTACACTTTTACACCCTCCTTCCCTCTCCCTTGCGCACCTCCACACGCGTCTGCTGACACAAACACCCAGTCTCCCTCGGCCCTCCGATCATCTGCAACAACTATGACCTCCGCGAGGCTCTCCTTCGCGAGAATGACGCGCGTCTGGAACGCGAAGACCGAGGCGACGTTCCTGAGGGCGAGGAGCTCGATCTCGACTATCCTCTCCACGCGCCCTCGCTGCCCACCAGCTCCGTAGCCTCTTCACTGCTGTTTGCCCAACCCCCGCCTCCCAAACCCACCGCTGCCAAGAAGAGCAACAACCGCAAGCGCGAGAAGGCTCACACTAAACGCAAGCAAGCCGCGCAGGCCGCAGAATCCTCCATTGAACCACCTGCCCCCACTCCTCGTATGCTCAAGAAAGCCGCTGCCTCTTCGCCCATCGAGCTTGTCTTCGACGCAGCCAAATTCCGTGCGGCACACCCACGCTGGACCGGCCTTCCCGGGACGCCCAACCACCCACTCTTCGTGCACGCGCGTGACGCGGAGTACCTCAAAGAGCATTTGCAGTACGCAGACTGGCAGGGAGAGTGCGTTCTTCCTCTTCCTGCTGCTGACTTGGCGATCCTTACCCCTTCACGCAGAAAGACTCATGTCCTCGTCGACAAGCACGGCCATGTCATCGGCGCCCTCGTCGCCCCTCCTTTGCCTGGCAAATCTTGGGCTCCCATTCTCCAAGACGCTCCCACCACCACATCCCATAGCTCGCACATCGGCGCCTCCACACGACTCCACCCTGTATCTCTCAGTTCATCCATGCCACCACGCGTAGGCCGCCCACCCCTTGCCCCGGCCGTGAAAGAGGCCAATCTCGAAAACGCCAAGGCGAAGTACGAGGAGGACAATCGGGAGTTGCGCGCACGCAAATCTCGCGAACGAATGCAGCGGTGCGTCCGCTCTCACCTCTCCTTCTTCGTTGGTCTCACAGAGTTCGTGGCTAGCAAACGTGCAGCCATCGCCAAAGACCCTATCGCGCATTCCAAGGCCAAGCAGAAGGCTGCTCATCACTCAGAAACTTATCGCGACCGGTGCGTATGAAACTTTACTACATACAGTGTCTCATTATTCGAGCAGCAAATGGGTGGAGGCGCAGGCAGCTGCTCGACAGGCGGAGGCCATCCAAAAGGCCGCCGCAAAGTGAGTGTCTTCTTCGTTTCCTCCATTGCATGTCCTCAATTGTTACAGCCGCATGCGCAAGGAGGAAATGGAGAGGCATCTCCCTGCACGCCGCCAGCGAGAAGTTGTCTCCAAGTCTGCCTCTGGCTCCACCACCCCTGGCCTTTCCCTGTCCGCCATCCACGCTGCCGACAGCGACGACGAGGAGTTCCACGTCCAAAACGCCGGACTCTTGGGACCCATGCGCTGCGCCGGCTGCCACTCCGAGGAGTGTGTTGGCTGCGCGTGTCTATGCGAGGCTTCCACCCAATGGATAGAGCACGAAGGGGGTCATTTCTTTGAAACCTGCAAACGGTGCGGGTGCGCAGATTGTCCTGGCTGCGTCTGCGTCTGTCCAGTGAGCGACGAGTGGGTGGAGCACGGAGGGCATGCCTCGCGGGTGAAAAAAAGGGTCGGCGGGCGGTGAGGAGGACGAGGGCAGCGCGGTGGTGGCTTGTAGCATATGTCTTGGACCTTGTCTCAACTCACTTTCTTGCAAATGTATATGTAGCACCGTCTCTTAGAAATTGAGATCTTCAGTCTGCCAGAGAGAATTGCGACACGCTGATCAATCAGGAAATCAGGAAATCAAGAAATCAAGAAATCAAGAAATCAAGAAATCAAGAAATCAAGAAATCAAGCAAAAAAAGAGATGGCGGCGACCGGGGTTGAACCGGCGACTTCTCGGTCCAAGGCTATGGATCACTACTGTGCCGAGACGTGATACCTCTTCACCACACTGCCTACGATAATGGGTAAGTCAAAGTTTAACACGACTTGTATACCCTACTTGAGGGATCACTGCGCTGGCACGCCACATCTACTTACTCACTCATCCACTCACACCATCGCACCATGCCCGAGGAAGCGCATATAATTCAAATCCAAGCCCAACCTCGGCACTTTCGCAGACGCCGCGAGGCCAAACCCTCCCCTCCTGATGACGTCCCTCACGGCTGGGACCCCGATGTCATCCACACGCTGGGACCCTCACGCACCGGAACCGTGGAGGCTGCTGAGAGGACTTCAAAAATGCGCGCCAGAGCGCACGCCGCAGCCCAAGCACGGCGCACAGCTGACGAGAAACTCGTCAAACTTTTGATGGCGGGGCCGGAGGGACGCGCGAAACGCAGGTGAGTGATTATTCTACTCTCGTGTCCTTTGCTGAAAAGCTTTCCAGGCTGGCGAAGGAGATCAGAAAGGGAGGCACCAGAGCAGGGTCGACGTCGTCGAAGGCTTCAAGCTCGAGGTTGTGAGGCCGTCGGCGTGTATCGTATTTCTTGAATTTAATGCGTTGAGTTGCGCGTCGTTTATTTATTGCGTTCTTTCGTCTCTGGGGTTCCATGGTGTTCTATTTATCGCGTTGAGTTGGGCGTTCCATTTAACGCGTTAAATGAGCGTGCCTTATTTACTTGCCGCGTGACTCGTGTTGTTCTTATCGCTTCTTTCTTTCTCTCCACCACCATCGTTGCTCGAATCCTCACCATGGCCGTCTATACTTGCTCCATGCCCTTCTGCCGAGGCTCCAACTTCACCGACCACAAGACGCAAGATGCCGCAGAGAAGCGGTTTTGGTATGTGGTGTTGTTCCAGGCGTCGTACACCCTCTAGTGCGTGTCTGCATCGTCCTCTCTTGGTTGTACTGACGACTCCTTTGCAGCTCGGATGCTGAGCTTTGGATGGACGCTCGTCTCCGTGGACGAGACCTCTACATCTTCAGGCGCCACGTCCACGCCGAGGAGTTCTGGGCTCGTCACTGCATCTCAGACCATCGCCACGAGGAGCGTGGAGAACGAGGCGTTGACCGACACATCCCGACGCCCCCACCCTCTCCTCCTGTCACCACCATCGACGACATGTACGAGGACGACAGCCCCAAGCCTCCGAAAACGAAAAGCAGCAAGAGGGACCCTCGCGTCGAGATCCCAATGTCACGCTCGGCCAGCTTGTACGAGGACGGCAGCCCCAAACCTCTGAAAACGAAGAGCGACCAGAGGGACACTCGCCTCGAGATCCCAAGCTCGCGCTCGCCCAGCCTGTTGACGCCAGCTCGGCCAGCTATTCAGATGCAGACGCCTGGCTCGTCCAACAGCACTGCGCGTGCGACGCTCTCGCCGTCGAGTCCAGCTCGCCCAGGACCGCGGACGCCCGAAGCGTCCGTGTGCCAGTCGATTTCGAGCATGCTGCCCTCGTATTACGACTCCAGCCCTCTGGCCTCGTCGTCGACCTCGATCTCGACCCCCGTTGCGTCGACCTCCTCGTTGACCTCCTCGTCGACCGCCTCGTCTCAAGCCGCGAGTCTTTTTGTGATGCGCAGCCCTCGGCACACACCGTCCATCTTCAAGGGGACTTGGTGCGTGGTCCTTACTTTTGGGAGCTGGTGTTGATCTCTTATATAGGCAAGAAGCCGCGGAGGCTGCGGAGCCAGGCAAGCGGGTGTCGCGTCTCACCGAGGAGGAACTGCACGATGGGGCGTCGTTCTTTGCCTGAGGGTTTTTTTTTGTTCGTCTGCTCATAGTCTGCCGCGCGTCCTTGTATATAAACGAACGAACCAATGAAATTGGTTGTTTCTTGGACTACATTTGTGATTCCTAATTTGAGAGTGGGAGTGGACTTGTGAACTCAGAAAAAGAAAGAAAGAAAAGGTACGAGCGCGGGGATTCGAACGCACAAGGATTGGTGGTGCGAGAGGTCCAATTCGGAAGCCCAGTAAACGTCAGCAAACTGGGCTGGCGTCTTGGACCTCTGCACCACCAATACCTAGTGTATTGGTGGTGGTGGGGTAAATTTACCATTGACATGACGTGGAAAAATTTCAAACATTCAAACATAGCTCAATTCAGTTTTATTTTAGAGGATCTCCTTAATCTCCGTATGACAGCGTGTATGCTGTGGGCCCACATTCCCACCGCGCGATCCGACTTGACTCTCAACTTCACCACTGCGCTCGGTGTTGTCCCGCCCACTTCATTCGACATCGCTCCCTCTGATTCCAATGGCGCCACCATTGCTAGTATTTGGACGCGCATGTGATCCGCCAAACAATTTCTTTTGCTCTGTCTGCACGATCTCCCCTAAACGACACGATAATGGGCAAGAAATCCGCGAAATCCAAGGCCAAATCCAAAGCTCAAGACGTGACAGAGGGCCCGAGGAAGAAACCAGGAAACGAGTGCCACTTCAAAGGAGAGCGGCGCGCCTTCCTCGAGAGCCATCTCCCGACGTACCTGGCTCGTTCCAAGAACACAGACGGCTCGGCCAAGTTTGCTGGGGCGTCACCAATGTTCCCTCAGTTGATGACGGACTGGTGGAACCGATGGCCGTGGCGTCTGCCTTTGGATGTGGAACCGCTGCCTGGGATTGATTACGCCCTCGCGCCTCAGACGGCAGCAGAGGAGGAGCAAAAAACAGCGGCCGTTAAGGCTATGACCAAGGTATGCAGACACGCGTTGCTTCGGTCGAAACCCTGCCTGAACAAAACCAGAAAATTCGCCAGTGGTTCCAACGCCAGCGTGACAGGCTTGGTCTCGTCAAGAACCCCATCAACCGCATGCTCGAGGAGCTCATGCCTGAGCCCGACGACGACGAGGACGACGACAGCACGAGGAAGCCTCTGTTCGTGCAGTGGTACATGAAGCAGCTAGGGTATAGCAAGAGGTGCAAGGACGAGTTCGAGCGCCTGCATCCGGGAGTGGGCCACCGCGAGGGCTTGAACCTCCGCGTGCAGGTCGCCCGCAACCTGCTGGACCAAGAGCCGGAGGAAGTGCGTGCTGGGCTCGCGGAGAGGTACGAGCTCCAGTACCAGAAGAAGGACGACGTGAAGGACGCTGAGGGCGGTCTGGTCGCTGCGGGGAAGACTGTGCGGCAGGATGGCGATGATGAGGGGGAGGAGGAGGAGGAGAAGGAGGCTGAGGAGGCGCCGTCCTTTATTCTGCTCCTCACGGAAGAGGAGAAGGCAGCGTAAGTGTTTGTTTAGCTTTCGAAGTACGGGCGCTGACGTGAGCCACAGAGCTCGCAAACATTTCTCCTCCGTGGCCGATCCTCTTGTCGAGCGCCTGCGAAAGATCACCGGCTACGAAATCGTCATCCTCGCAGGAAGACTCGAGGGTCAGGGCCGGACTCGTCGTGAGAGTACCGTGCACACAATGTAGTAAGTTTCTTGCTTGCTCACCGTAACCCTTTTCTAACGAACGACCGCAGTGTTCAGGGTGGTGAGGACTACAAGAAGCACCCTGGGCTCGACTTCGAGAGCTTCAGTGAGAAGCACCATTCGGCCATCATCAATAGTTTTAGCAAATACGCCTACAGCTGCCGTGAGTCTCCCCGCTTCTTTGGGAATTTTCTGTTGTATTTGTATCTAACACCGGTGTAGACACGACCAACAAGGCCTTGAAGGACGGAACGCTGGCCCCAATGGACGCTGCGACGGCGTCGTCCAGCAGCACCACCGAAAACACCGCCAAAACCAGCGCCAAACCTGCCGCGATCCTGCCCGGCCCCAACGCCACGGCAGCACCTCCTCCTCCTGTCCTCAACGCTACAGCAGCACCCCCTCCTCCTCCTCCTGTCCTCAACGCTACAGCAGCACCCCCTCCTCCTGCTGTCCTTAACGCTACGGCAGCACCCCCTCCTCCTCCTCCCACCCAGGTCGCTGCACCCTGGGTTGTAGCCACAATGCATTGTACCTTGCCGTGGCAGGGGGGTACATTTAAATAAGGTGACACCTTGACAAGGCAGCCATCATGTGCCCACATTGCAATGTACCTTTGGCAGTGCACAGCAAAGAAATTAAAATGCAGCAAGGGGGAACTGAACCCAAAACCTCCTGCTGTCATCCACAGAGAGTGGATGGAAGACACCTTAACCAACTGAGCTAGAGAAGAGTGACAGATAGCTCTCCACATCAAGCCAAACTATGCCCTCAGACTGAGATCCAGCAGTGAATTGGCGGTTAGACGCGGGTTAGGTTAGGTTAGGTTAGGTTTGGTGCACCCCTAAACAAATGACACCCCCCCCCGCGGCTTCGTCTGCGAGTGGAAGAACTCGTAATCCACTGTGAATGGGCGGTTAGGGGCAATATCTGCTGTGAATGGTGGTTAGGGGCATCATCCAATGGGAATGACAGCATCAGATCAGGGCCTGTCAAATAGGGTAGTAGTGGCATCAAATAAAGCAACCAGTATGGTTCTGTAGTGTAGCAGTAAGTAGTCACTCCTAATATAGTAATCCCTACCTTGGAGGTCTGTGGTTCAATTCAGCCTGCTGGCCGCTATTTTGCCCTGCTGTAGCTGGGTGCAATTCATTTAGCAAGGCTGTGACAGGGTACAATGCAATGTGGGCACACTGTGGCTGGGTTGTCAAGCTGTGGCCACAATTAAATGTACCCCCCAGGCATGACAGGGTACATTGCCTATGTGGTACAGCTACACCTCGTGAGGGCGAGTCAAACGACGAGAAGGGCCCCGAGCCTGAGCCCGAGCCCGAGCCTGAGAACGAGAACGAGATGGACGTGGATGTGGAGACGCCCGAGGCTGAGAAGAGAGCCGTCCCCAAGCCCCGTTTTGCGGGGAAGAAACACCAGGACGCGAAGCAGTGGGCGGAGAACGCGAAGGAGCAGCTGGTGGACACGCTGGGGCCTGCGCTCGGACCGAAATTCGACTACGCCGTCGAGCTTTGGATGCAATCCGAGGCTGAATCTGGGTTTGGCATCGACGTACGTTCTCCTTTCTATCCCTCGGCGTTGC